TTGAATTCCTCAACATGGAAGCTATTTGAATTTTCATGAGCTCATGTGTAATTATTTGTGCAATTTTCATCAGAATTAAAAATGACTTGGTTAGTGTTTACTAGGTGGTGGCTGTTGCATTTTATCTAATATGCGAGGTTCATTGACCATTGGTGTTTAATAAACTTTTAAGATGTCACTCTTAGATTTTATTATTTATCAATAAAATGAATGAAAACATACTTTGAGGATCTAATGTAAAAGAACAAGATAAACCAAGATAAATATGTTCTATTCGTAACATTCTATAGAACGAGATTGCTACCATTCCTTCTACATTGTAGTGTACATTGCAAATGACATCACAAAGAATTACATCATCTAATATTAATTATCCACGAGCTAATGTTACTTGGACAAGTAAGCTGTGTATACACGAAATGACAAATTTGTTACACCGAGATTGAATGTGTTTTTATTTGAGGTATTACTTCAGCATACATGTATGGTCCTTGTTGTCCGGTGCGTTTCATTGAAATTTGTTTCACGTGCCTTAATACTTATGTCACTTTCAGTAATCATCAGTTGACTTGATCCAATTGTTTTCATCAACATTTTCAGTTTGTATCATGTTTGCAGAGTGCATCCGTGTAAGGGTAGGTCATTTGAGTCCTTTGAGAAGGGGATTTCATTTTATTTTTGTTTTTTGAAACTTGAAGGTGAATCTCTTGAAACCACTCTGAAACCCATTGCCTAAAAACTGACATTGCAATTTTCTTGAAGGGCTTGACCATTACTAATTTGTGGGAGGGTTATTTATTATGAGATAAACTAGTATATTTTTAAAAAATCTAGCAAAAACTTACGAGTAAAAAAATTTTAAAAAAATGTTGGAAAAGAGCAAAAAAATTTGTTTTTCACTTCAATATTGTCCTAAAAATAATATCAATGTCAAAACTAAGTGAACGAAAACAATTTAGCCATCTTCCTCAATTGTCAATCTCTAAGTTATTGACTTATTTAATTTATTCTTGTAACACCCCTCACTGTAAATAGTTTTAATCCCTGGAGTCAAATTTGTTAATATTTTTGCCCATCTTTTCAAATGTCGATTAGTTATGATTTGAATCAGGTTTTTGATGGTAAGTAAAACATAATTATAAAAACTGTTATGTTGCGGAGGAAGACTGATGAGGTAAAATGATTAATGGGATATTCTCCAGTTGTAATATCAGTTTGAAAGCTAGCAGACAAATCTGTTACAACTATCACTAAGTTTTCTTAGAGGTCTGATGATGATAGCTGATTTCCTAATTCTTGGTAACATATGCTGCTCTCGAGTGAACAGTTCTCAAAGTCAGGGAAATTGATTTTATTTCCTGTTGATGACAGACAACTCTTTCTCTTTATGTATCATAAATCATACAGTTTATCTATACAAGTGGAACCAGCCTGACTCAGATTCGTCCAGTCAAAAGTTTATTTTAAACACCGACAGTACGGTCTGAGCGTAACTCTGGTTCGATATGGGACCCACAGCGACGTATACAATGCATGTAAAATGCATTGCTTGTTTACATGAGATTCACACATTACCCAACGACCACATCTTTTACATTTAGCTGGCTTAACATGCTTTCAAAACTACCATATATGTAAATTGTGCATCTAGTAATCTGCCTAAATATGTGTATACTACAAAGATTATGTTTAAATTACCGATGACAATGATATTCACTTTAAAAATTTCAGATATTGCTTTTACTTTTTGATCAAAAGGTTTGGGTGCGACTTTTGTTAGGGATTACAGATTTTATTATACACTCAGGTTTTAGTTCCCATTTGGATGAAGTTTGACTTGTGGTTTTAGTTTACTGTGCACCTGTGTGTGCGTGTGTTTGTATGTTCAGAGCTGTATCTCGGACGTACCTTGGTGATTGGTTCTCTTTAAGCATTTTGAAAATTTCTATCTTGTATGTTTTTAGAAAGTTACTTCAAACTTTGTATATAGATGGCACACATATAATAATTTTTTTTCAGTTGATCAAAGATGGCCGAATACTCATCATTTTAGTTTTTAAAGAAAATCTGAAATGTGTTATTTGATTTTCTGCTATCTTGGTACTAGAGGTTGATGCACTTAGATTTGTTTTCTCAAGAAGTACATGTACATGTATCAGTTCACTCAAGAACTGCAATTTGTTATTTGCATATGAAATACTGTAGACTACTTTATTTTCGCTTGGAATTTATTTTCGCTAGAGGAATGATTCCGTGAAAATAAAATCCAGCGAATATACTTTTTTTCCTATATTTCACATTAAACTGATCAAAAATCAGTGAAAATAAATTCCATACAAATTGCCCAAAAAGCCTTTTCAGTAAAAATTAATTCCAGCGAAAATAAAGTATTCCACAGTAGCAATGTTAAAATGTTCACTATTTACATGACTAGGAGCTGAATTATCTTTAAAGGCTGTGCAAAATGCTGAATTTATGGTATCACTTGCATTTAGCAATATTTCTCCACCTTTTATTGTGACATGATCAAGGTCAAATATTCATTATTAATTAGAAACGCCCGTTTATGAGCTAGGATATTAAATTTTAGGTCATTACAGATACCAGTGCCATTCAGGTTCAATCCTAAGTGATCATAAATGTCTAAATAACGAGTACTACATCCATATATCTTACTACCATATTTAATGTATTAGATCCGGCATGGTTTGCATGTAAGCTCACAGTGTACGTTATGCTCAGTGTATGTTAGCTTTACAAAGCACAGTCAGTGTCCATTTGATGATGTTCATTTTGATTAAAATTTGCCATAAAAGGACTACATGAGTGTCCTTAAATTTAATTTGACAAGATATAGCTGCCTATTCACATCATACACATGTACATGTAATATTGCATTACTTGTACAGGTACATGCAAATGGTGTTTATGAAATATACCGGTACTGTACATGTAAAAAATTAAGAACATGTGTACATATACTAGTACATGTATGCTCACAGTGTACGCTAGCATTACAGATCACAGTCAGTGTCCATTTGATGTGCATTTTAATTACCATTTGCCAAAAAAAGACTACATGTACATGAGTATCCTTAAATTTAGTTTGCCAACATATATACGTTGTAGCTACCTGTTTCCATCATACATGTAATATTGCATTACACGTACTTGTACAAATGGTGGTCTTCTAGGAAAATGATATGTAAAAAATTATAATGTTCTTTCATGTGCAATCACACATATGTATTTCTGTGAAATAATTTGGTAATACAGAAAATGCAGTATTTTCTACATACATGTGTCACCGAGGGTCTAAATTATGCACAGTAAATTCAGTTTTTAATCAAAAACAGGATTCGTAAAAACTCGCAATGTGGAATCCCAATGCTCACATGCTGTAAACATCTGCTGTTAGGGCAGGAAAGGCTTATTTGTAATTAATAGCACTTCCAATAAAAGTTCAATGCCAAATTTGAATTGCTTTTTCTTGAGGCATAACTATTAGCTAGATTTCATTTCGCATCCATTTCCATAGAGAGTGCATGCACTTTGTGTTTTATAGGCTTGCAGTGTGTTTTTACTGCAGTGGGTCATTTAGATCACCAACAGTGAGTATCCTGCCCAGTGGAGTTGTGGGATGACTGTAACACAGTTTTTAAATGCTATATGTTCATGCATAGTCAATCCAAGAATTGCTGTTCATTCATATTTGTATTTCCCTATGATTATACACATGCTGGCTATACTGTATAGAACTTAATTATTTGCTGGGTTTCATTTTCTCTGATATCTAACTACCTTAAATTAAAACCCAGTCAGTATGCAAAGTTGACAATAGTGTATTATTTCCTTCTCCAGTGAATTATAAACAGTGAATTAAAAACTGGTGAATATTCGTGCAATATCAAATCCACTAATATTAAACCCAGTGAATATTTCCCTCTCCACAGTATTCAGGCTGTATTGATATTGATATATATATATTTATATGTATATGTAAGAATGGAATAGTCGCGCAGCATGACTTGATGGTGTTGAAAACTATATCCTTGGTTTACCGCCATCTGCATTTTATTTCTTGTATTGATTGTCCCAGTGATTCAGATCATTATCAATATAACTCTCCATATACAGTGATTTTTTTATTAGAAGCACATCTCCAATATAAGCGCACACAAACCCAAAATTTCTTTTATTGCATGCTACGTCATTGAATGTTTGCTTTGCTAATATTTGGTTGTGCTTTAAATAGTGTGATACAGTAAACAAGTTAATTTGTCGCTGTTTCTTATAGGGCTGTGATCGTCGCACAGCACGTGTTTAATTTCATGTATTTTCCACATATTGTGTACGTTGCTATGAGTCCCATATTAACAACTGCCGTTTTATTTACCGGTAATTATTTTTGCTGATGCATGATTGCAACTACAGTGTCTCAAATGGTCAACCTTTAATTTGTGTCAAGAGGAAATTTTACTCTCTGTTACACCAAACAGATTCCTCTATCTGATTTGCAAGTCAGCAAAATTTTGCTCACCACTTATCCAACATCTAATTCTAAGTGAACGTATTGGTTGAAATCTGACCAACTTGAATATGCAGTAAACCCTTTAATTTTCAGTACGAGGAATTTTTCACAATCTGAAAATGTTATGGCATCTCTGAAAACGTTTGTGAAAGTCTCAAGGGAAGTTTCCTTTGCTGCAGAATTTCAACAATTCATTTCACTGTATATGCCATGCTAACTTTGTTTGGCTGCTTTTCTTTAATACAGGCACTTCCTACATGTATCAGATCAATTGTATATATTTTTTATTTACTTGGTCTTTCAGTAGAATCTTGTGTTATTTTGTGGAGGAGCGTTTGTTCATGTAACAATTGGTTCTCACAACCCTGGTATTCAAATGATGGCCACACATAATTGCCAAAATAATGGTATGGTTTTCATTAAATGTTTGCACCCATGGAGTAAAATTGTTTCTTTCTTATAACTTCAGGTGTCATAAGACAGAAATATTATAGTTTCCAGCATGCTGTTCAGTCTGGTAGCCTCCAGTGGAGCAGCAGTGAGCCAAATGACACGCCCCTCACAGCACGCTACTCCCACAGTGCATGTTATCTAGATCGTGCTATGTACGTATTCGGTGGATGCTCATCTGCCAGTACAGCTTTTAATGACATGTGGAAGATGGATTTAGGGACTGGAGAGTGGAGCCGAGTTCTAGCGACAGGTAAGAGAGATATTGTTACACTTACAAATGTTTTTGCAAGTGCTCTGAGTCAAAGTTTTTTAAAGCGGGAGGGTCGTCACCTGCGCACACACAGGAATTGAGTCCCAAGCAATGAAAAACACAAAGGCTTATGGGTAGACGCTTGTTTTTAAACAATGACACGCTATGACCATCTGACGCATGCGTAGGTACTGACTCCCCTGCTTTTAGTGTACAGATAAGTATGATAGTGATATCAATTGTTCTATACATGTACATGCATTCAAGTTTATTCGTCTTTATGCTAATTGTAAACTAGCCACAATATTCCTATGTACATTGTACATGTAGAGTGTAATCTATACAGTTGTATTCATATGCTAAGTGTAATTGTTACATATAACTGTACATAACTTGTAACACTGCTATTGTAAATCAGACCTTGCACCTTGGCCAATACTGTGCTACGACTTTAATCAAGGTCCAACGTCTAGAGTTGAAGACGATACTGAGTTAGTTTACTGTTTAAAAGTTGGTCAAGAAAGGGGTTTGAACTCGCCACATTAACCACAGCAGTTAGAATCTCTAACAATTGAGCTATTGCAATTTTTGATTGGGGGGGGGGGGGCTCTTGGAAAACACAGACACTAAAAGTGTCATTTCAATGTCAAGTGGTAGGCATTTAATTATTCCTAAGCAAATGACAAAACGTACAATGCATCTTTAGTAGTAATGGAAATTTGTATATATTCAGCACAGGGCAATGCAACCAATTTAAATAATGAATCCTTGAATATTATTGGTTATAGTCCAGAACACTGTTACTAGAACTTTTGAATACTTTATTTTAGCTGGAATGAATTTTCGCTGAAAGTACTTTTTAGGTGTTTTGTATGGAATTTATTTTAACTTATTTTTGATGAGTTGAATGTAAAATATAGAAAAAAAGATATATATTCGCTGGATTTTTCATTTCACTGAATCAGTCCTTCAGGGAATGTAGCAAAAATTAAATCCAAGCAAAAATAAAGTACTTTACAGTATATGTACAATGTATTCATGTACCAAATGTATACACTGAGTTTCAATTTCTTAGATTCAACTGTATGTTACTGTTAGTCTGTGAGGGTGTATGGTTAATTAAAATGGGTTAAACATCCTGAGTGTGTGTTTTACAGGATGACAATTTTTTATCTTAAATCCTAGGTGTAAGTCCGCTGTTGAATGTTGTAATTTATTATTCCTTTGTGTTTTCTCTTGCATGCCATTATATTAATACATGTGTATTTATAATGGCTTTCGTTGAGTCCCTGTGTAGTCATAGTGCAAATGTAACATATATATATTTTCACACTATAGACACTACAAAATAAATCTTTCACTTTCTGCTCGTCTGAATTGAGCGACCTCATAAATAATTAATAAATGTAACATGACGTAATGACAGAATTTACCAGCTGAAAGAACATTGTACACACATACGTATATTGCTTTGAAACTCAACTTTTCAGTTCAACTTTTATTTTTCATTTTGAGGTGTACCCTAAATGCATTTGTAAGTATACAAGTGCTTTTAGAGTCATGAGCATATTGATTTATACTGTAATTCACCTACATGTATGTCCGGATTGAGGTACAAAAATTCATAGGAATTTAAGTGTGTGGCTGATGCTATCTCAATGAAAGAAGTTAAACAGGATTTGAAAATCTAGTCCAATAAAAATGTGCAGTGGAGAGAAAAGAACCTCTTGCTGTGCATTTTTCACGACCATTTGCATATGTTCATTCAGTTGAGAGCACACGGAGATGTGACTGTAAATTTATTGCATACATCAGAACTGTAATGGAAAGTCATTTATCAGCGAGCCAGTCAGCTGTGTTGATAAAAACAATGTCTTTCTAATCTCATTAGAAATATTGAAAACCACTGAGTATGTCCTATCAAACGCTAATGATAATTGTGAATGTTTCTATTTCTTCGGAATGGAATTAGTTTTTGAGTCGTTCATTGTCTAATGTCTCTGTTCAGTCAAGGGTGTCATGCCTGTGATGGGATGGAAAATGAATTTAGAGAGTAAAATGATTTTTTTGTGAGTGAGTTTTTCTCTCCTGAGATTTTGAGTTGAACATTCTCTGTGGATTTTTACTTTCCTCAAGTATAATTATATATTATTCCCTCATGTTTGTCTTTGTTCAGCTCAGAAAATTATGAGTGATGTTAGAGCTACTTGTATATCACTGAGTCAGAGACCCTCTGGAAAAATAAAATTACTGTCTAGTGGCAAGAAAAATGTATATTAACTTAACCTTAGCCGCTGTTTATCTGGAGAACAAACATATTATTCAAACTTGAATTACTCTTCTGCGTTATAGTGCTTGTGTTGTCATGTTGACGTGTTCTGATTCAAAATGGCCGACTGGTAGCACGTACATGTACCTCTCTGAATGTCATTCATTTTAATGTTAAAAAATCATCATAACTAAGCATCAGCTTCTTGATTCATTCTCTGACGTGTTTATGTTAAAACTATATTACTGTAAACAAAACCATGTACATTAAATTTGATAACTAATGGAGACTGTGCTATGCATGGCTTATTTTAGCTAATGAGTTTCTAATTAGTTGCAATTTCCCTAATTCACAATAAGATTGTTGACACTTCAGCTAAATTAAGATTCTGTTATTTCATGCACTGACCCAGATTCGTTAAAATGTCGTGCTATTTCAAGCATTTTACAATATATACCGACAGAGGTACATCACTTGGGGTTTGCAACGCGCATAGTACTGTATGGTGACATCATGTCAAGATCTCATTCAAGTCTCATCTCATAGATAGCGAGACTGATTCTACGACCTTCTGACATGACATAGGCAGTTTGTAATAAAACAATAAAACATGTATTACCACATTCACAGTGAAAGAATGTAATACATCAAAAATGTACAGAAAATATAGTTATCGTAATCCATCATATAGTGAGCAGTTATTTTGATCCACCTGGACATCCCAGTACCCTAGTTTCCTTGGAACGCTTATGCGAGAGCGAGATTGAAACGGGATCTTGGTATCATGTCACCGTAGTTGCAAACCCCAAGTAATGTAACTCTGATACCGATTATTAATAATTTGTCATCGTTTCATAGAATAAATATTTAGTAATAATGTGATTAGTTTTAGGAGTAATGTTTAATCAAATAAAATTGGAAAATTTGTAATGTAAATTATTGAAAGGAAACAAACTTCCAACAATCTATTTCATACATGGTACAGCTCACACAGCATCACCAAAGTCCACAGGGAGTGATTGAGTCGCCTGCAGTATGTACTAAAACTTTCTGTAAGTAATTTAAGTTCATTCCTGATCACTGGTTTAATAGTTATACTACATTAAAAAAGCTATTTACTGGTATGTTATTGGATTATTTATGACATAATTACACTACATGCAACTCAGGTTATCCATAACATTTGTCACAGTGACTGGAATTTAGTAATTACGATGTGATATGTGAAACAATGTTCAGCTTATTATTATTACATGTTTGGAGGTAATTCAAAAATGGGGATGCGCCCCTATGCATCCATCCGTCCGCCCATCCATCCATCTATCTGTTTGTTCGTTTGTTCATCCATCCATCCATCCATCCATCCATTTGTTCATCCGTTCGTTCGTTTGTCCATCCATCCATCCATCCATCCATCCATCCATCCGTTTGTTCATCCAATCATCCATCCACCCATCCATCCGTTTGTTCATCCATCCACCCATTCATCCGTTTGTTCATCCATCCATCCATCCATTTGTTCATCCGTTCGTTCGTTCGTTCGTTCGTTCGTTCGTTCGTTCATCCATCCATCCATCCATCCACCCATCCATCCATCCTTCCGTTTGTTCATCCAATCATCCATCCACCCATCCATCTGTTTGTTCATCCAATCATCCATCCACCCATCCATCCGTTTGTTCATCCATCCACCCATTCATCCGTTTGTTCATCCATCCATCCATTCATCCATCCATTTGTTCGTTCGTTCGTCCATCCATCCATCCATCCATCCATCCATCCATCCATCCATCCACCCACCCATCCATCTGTTTGTTCGTCCATCCATCCATCCGTTTGTTCATCCATCCATCCATCCGTTTGTTCATCCATCCATCCATCCGTTTGTTCATCCATCCATCCATCCATCCATCCACCCATCCATCCATCTGTTTGTTCATCCACCATCCATCCGTTTGTTCATCCATCCATCCATCCATCCATTTGTTCATCCATCCATTTGTTCGTTTGTCCATCCATCCATCCATCTATCCATCCATCCATCCTGTTTCTCAGACATGCTTGTGCCATTTCCACACGCACATCACATTGTACATAGGCACATGATCCAATTTATGAATTGCTGAATAGCAGCCATTTTAGTGCTAAAAATTTATCAAAATTTCTGCCATTCTGGAACTGAATCTTCAGTAATATTGCATTCAAACTTGGTATGTGCATTAAACATTATGGGTCCTTGATGCACTTCATTTTTTTCTCCCAGATTGTTGGCTGACCAATGGCCATTTTGTTTTTTAACAATTGCTGTTTTTGAAACCATATGCTAAGATGACTGGACTGATCATGTTCAAACTTTACACATACATCATGTAGCACATTTGCACATGCATCTGTTTATGGAATTGATTCAAGATGCTGGGCGATTGTCATTTTCATGCTAGAAATGCATTATGAATGTCACAGGCACAAAAAAACTGGCTTCATTATGTTCATTTGGTCTTAAATTAAGATAGAATTTATAGAAATGTTTGGCACATTGTGGTAGGAAATGTAATAGCATTAAAAAAAAAGGTAAAAATGAAAAGAAAAACAGGAATAATATCTATTTTTATCTGCCAGACGATATGTGACCAACTGAGTGACAAAAATAAATCTAAATTTTTATTTTTTCTAAAACTTTGACCTGCAGCCAATGGAAAATTATGTTTATTTTCCCACAACCAAAATACTG